TGCAGAGGGTGGAGGGTATCTGAAATCCTTCACAAACCACTGAAATGTTTATTCATCCTATGATAATAAAGGCTGATTTGCAGGGAACACATGCAGAGTGTTTTGCAGCTGAGAAATGACTGAATGTGATTTTTGATGTTTTGATGTTAATAATGAATTGAAATGAGTCACTCTCATCAATGTCAGCCTCGTATCTCTGGTAGTTTTACCAGGGTTGAAAGAGAAATTCTTAAAAAGTTTATGAATATCTGAAAAGATATTTTCTTATTTATAATATTCATAATGTATTTAAATTTCAAATTTTAGTATGTGAGGGTTACATGTGTTTTTATTAATCCTATTTGAAACACAGCAGGTCATGAGTCACATTTCTATATCAAGCCACTCCTGAACTAGAGATAACATCAGAAGCATCTTATCCAGGCTAAGGAGAAATAGAACTGGACTGTTGCTCAGTGGTCAAAGTCCTCTTAGATGAAAGAAAATTTAGCATTTCTTTTACAAATCTAGGTCCCAAAGTCTGAGGAAAGCAGGGAGAGGCACAGTATGCCGTCTGTTTGAAGTTCAGTGTGAAGTCTCTCCACAATCTGTAATGATTTGAGGTCACCTGCAGATGTTGGTCCAAAGTCGATGCATCATCTACCTGGAAATTCTAGAGCACATCATACTTCCATCTCCTGACAAACTTCATGGAGATGGCAATTTCCTTTTTCCAGCAGGACCTAGCACTTCCCCACAGTGCCAGAACTGCTACCAAATCTTTTGCTGACCATGTTATTACTTTTACTATTACTGTGCTTGATTGGGGTAGCCCACTTGCCTGACCCCATGTGAATCTATGGAGCGCTGCCAACACCTAACACTGCAGACGAGTTGAAGGCTGCAAAGCAGCCTGGGAAACCTCAACGGTGCCGCTCTCCTTTGATGCAAAAATTGGTGGATGTGGTTCAGGAGGTAGAGCAGGTTCCACTAATCGGTAGGTTAGTAGGCTGGCTGCTCCCAATACATTGGATTTGAATGTGTGTGTCAATGTTAGATAGAAAGCTAGAAAACACTTAGACACAGAAAAAAGTGCTTGCATGAATGTTGCGTAAAGTACATTGAGTTTAAAAGTGCTATATAAGAACCAGTCCATTTACCAAGCAATTTATGGTAGAAAATATAAATATAGGGGTGGACAACATAGCCAAAATTATACCACAACACTTCAGGGAAACTTGTAATAGTGATATTTGTCGAGATACAGGGGGAAAAAGCTTGTTTTATTGGTGATTGCAGTTTACCGGCATAGGCTTGTGTAAGTGCAAAGAAAATTATGTGCATTTTACTGCCATTGACAACACGCTGCCTATTTTGAAGTGTGAAACTATTGCCACAAGGTGCCAGTAGCAGGTCGCTGTACAATATTGTCACATAATAAATTTGAAATTAAAAAGTGTTTTTTAACGTGGCTTTTTGTGCAATGCAACCGCATCTGCAATTTCCATCCATCTTTCCGTCGTATGGACCAATAACTATCGAGTGCTCCAGAAATACTCGTCATTTGTTTAATTTCAGGGTCGCACATCACCTGCTGTTAGTATCTTCTGCTTGGATGCCTTCATAGCCTAGTTGTATTCAGCAGTGTATTTTTGCTTTCAGTTTGTTGTTTCCATATTCAGGAACAGTTTTCCTGTTTGTATGAAAGTTTGTTCAAAGTTTTGTGCTTTGCTGGAGTTTGTTGAAGTTCATTCTCAGACATGGCTGGACTTTTGTTGGTGCTGTGCACGCAAGGGAACATTGATATTGTTGATATCATGAAGAAAACGCGTTCTTTTTTTTCTTTATCACACAAAACATCATGCTGATATATCATGGACAATGTGACATGGTAATTTTTGTCTTTTCTTTCTTTTTTAAGGAAACATTTGAATAATTTCTGGTGATATAGTAGTGTGTATTTGTATGTATATGTATATTTATGTGTAATTTATTTCTTTTCTTTTTTTAAGAAGTACTGTTATTTATCCCAAAAGCTGAGATAGTACTATTTTATTGTTGGAAAAACATTTAAAAAACCAATAAAATAAAGACAATATCACAAAACTAAACTAGACACCCTTAAATGAACTGCAGTGCCTGTGTTTGTTGTGATGAAAATACTTTGCCTGGTCCAAAAGTGTGGGTATTGATGTTATAACAGCTCAGACAACAACTGAGGCCTTTAACTTCTGAAGTGAAAAGAAGTCAATATTTTTCTTCAATAAAACGAGTTATTTGCCCAAGCGCTGGGCTTCGGCTACCACAAATTCTTCTTCTGAGCTGTGTGATCTTCAAGAAAAAAAAAACACAGAATGTCCTTTGATTCCTTTCTAAAGGCTCTTGTAATGTTTGCAGTTAAGGACAGAACAGGTAAAATAAGTCCTCAGAAGTGTGTGCGCACGTGTGCATGCACGTTTTGTTTTGGGTTTTTTTTTTGGTTTTTTGCATGTATGCCAGAGAATGCCATCTCACGCTGTTCCTAATCCTTTGCAGATTGAGGTCAGTGGTACTACTGGATGATCCCGGTGTACAACTTCAGCCCGACTGCTGGAAAGGCTGAGATTGGCTGGTGTTATCTGATTTGTTCTGTCCTCCCGACATATCCGGTGTAGGGCTCTGATTGGCTCAGACGCCTTGAGATGAGGTCAAAAATATTAAATATGCCCACAATAAACGGGCCATCCGACAGGAGGAAGCACGTAACTGCTTTCACTGTCCATTAGTGTGTCTACAGAAGGAATGCAAGTCGGTTTCAGGATTGTGTTGGTGGGTGCGGTTGTTATAGTAACTAATGACTGTTCTCACAGGCCCTCAGCACCATGTGGGAGGGTTGCTATGGCAATGCCAGGTTGTAGCGTAGGTGTGTTGTATGTAAGGTTGCTGTTCACTCATTGTTGACAGGAGTGTCAGAGTGAGAGGACTTTGCTACAACCCGTGTTTGAAGTGCAGAACTTTCGTGTATTGAAAACACCACAGAGCAAAGAAGAGATATTATATATTATTAATATTATTAGATATTATTAATGTTAGAGGAGTAACTTGCACTGAATTATGAAACTGATGTCCAAATTAACTAACCAACTCCAAAATGTATAATCAGCTACTAATTTATATTTTAATTTCATCTTTGAGAATCCATCATTCAAACAACACAAATTTTAGAAGAGTCCCATAAGATCACACCAGAGCGATTCTGCTGAAGTTCATAACTGATAATATTTAACAATTATTTCCCAGCAGTTACCATCATTACCACTAATTGCTCTGTTTCTGAAACTGTTACAAATAAAGTATTTGAATATAAACACTAATCCAGGCTCAGTAAGATTCCCATGTCAGTTATTTTATTATTGCAAGAAACAAACAAATATATCAGCAGGATAGCTTTATTATTCCTGCCCAAGGCTCCCATTTGCATCCCTTGCTGCTAGGCGGTTTTTCAAGCACTCAATATGACCTCTAGCGAACTTCCAAATTACCTTGAATCAGACCTTGTCTGTGTTTTTGTAAGACACAAAAATGCAGAAACTGTTTATTCCCGTCTGGACTTTTTATACATCTTTACTTAAGACACTGTCTCCTGAAATGGATTATCAGATTGTGGCCCACCTGATTACTTACCGTATTTTTGTGCCATTACTATCTTATTGTTTTCTTTTTCTTTGAGTGCTTTGTTAAACTCTGGATAACCATATGTCGAGTCTCTCTCAAAATCCTCTTTGGTTCTATGCACTTTTGTCCCTCTGATATCTCTTTCTTTTTTAAAAGCAAATGACAGACATCACCACAGTGGCCTCTACTTGCATACATTCAAAATAATGCAAGAGTAAAGCTTTTCTTTCCCGTGCATCTACACTTAGACACAGCAGGTTACTGAGCAGAGGCAGACTCAAACATGCTGAATTGTAATCTTCACAGTGACATTCCCTTAGGAGCGTGAATAGCCAAACACAATGCACTTCAATTTTCTGGCTTTTAAGAAGTGGTCACAGTCCCTGCATGGCAAAGCGCAGAATCCTCTGTGTGAATTATTTGCCCAATTAAATTTTGTCCAGTAACCTTCATTTCTAGCGTGATCCGCCCCCACCGCCTATGACTGACCTTATTGCCTTTTGGTGTTTTTGCTTGTCGTTAATGGATTCAGTTTTGGAAGCTCAGATCTAATGCTGTCTCTATTTCAGTCTTCCTGACACACATACATAAAGTTTTGCTCTGGTACCTATCTAAAAATACCTCTTTAGCTATTTCAGGTTCCCTTTTAAAGGCTATACATGTTTATTTCTGTCGGTGTGTAGAGTCACTCCATCTTCCTTTCTGAAATTATCACATTTTGATGTATCTTCTGCTTCCTTGTACCCCCCCTCTCTCTGATCTCTTCTGTTCTCAACCATCTGGCTTGGATCCCATCCTTTTTATTCTCAGTTGTATTGTAGATAGAAGGGGTTGGGCTGAATTTATTACAGTAAATTTCGGTCTTGCTGTTTTGTATATTTACTCTGCGTGATCCAAATGTTCCAAAAGTTTAGTGAGACACTGTAAGATGACATTTTGTTATGTTTTCTGTAGCCAGCCATATGGGATATAATCGGTCTGAAAGAAGTGCCAGAGGGGTCTCTGGAGGATTCTGTCTGTGTGAGATGGAGAAAATACCATCACCACACAGTAACATGTGAAAGTCATATATGGAAGAGGAAATGGAGGGCAGTCACCTCAGGAAAAAAAAAGCAAGGCTGCATTTACACCTTTTCTCACACCGCATAAAATTAATAGCTAACAGTGGAATGGACTTTATCACATGTATAATAGCTGAAAACCTTTCTATTGTTTAAAGTCTTTCTTTTTTTCTTTTCAGAGAGGTAAAGGGTTCATATATTATTTAAGGAAACAGATGATGCTATTCTAAAATTGAGTAATTACAGAATAATTACCATTATACACTCTAAGTAATAATCGCCCCTGTTCTTCTGTTTGTTTTTCAGTTATTGCTGACTCTTTGACAGTAACAGCTCCGGCCCAGACTTTGTCCAAAGTGGAAGGCGACACACTACAGCTTACCTGCGAGGTGTCTCGGACCACAGTGCAGCACACTCACTTGTCAGTAGGCTGGTACTTAAGGTCCCCAGAGGACCCAACCGCCCCGCCTCAGGAGTTAGTCACATTGTCAAGAGACTTCGTTTTGCGCTCTGGGGGGCCGTATCGGCAGAGAATGGCAGCGGGGGACCTCAGGCTGGATAAAACTGGCGCTACAGCCTACAGGCTGACCATTCACAAGCTGCAGCCAGTCGACCAGGGGCTGCTCTACTGCCAGGCTGCTGAGTGGATTCAGGACCCAGATGGAAGCTGGTTTGCTATGACCCGCAAGCAGAGCGACAAGACTCAGCTCCGTATTCAGCCCACTGGTGAGTGAATCGTAAATGGACTGCTTTAAAAAAAAAAAATTACCTTTGCATACACAGTGCAGCTATCATTCAGCTCTCTCACTGAGCCATTTATCAGTGGATAAAGCTGGCGTCCAACAAGACCGTTATACCTCTTCTCCATTAGCTTCTACTCGGCTCAACTCTACTCTGTTTCAGTCATTTTCCATTACAAGTGAGTACCACCGCAACGTTGGTGGGCTCGACACAGGTCGTTTGGAACCCCAGCCAAGTGGATATTAAAAAAGGTACCTGTTACCAGGTACTGTCATCCAATGGAACACCCTAAAACAGAGGTGAGCCTGGCAGAGTTGGTACTAGTGGAACAGAGGCTTTAGAAACACGGACATGAGGAACTGGGGTTTGAACCACTAACCTTGTGAAACCTAATTCCCTTTCTCTCTGCACCTCAGAGATAGGCCGAAAGGGATCGTATTCTGTGGGAAAGAAAAGGAGGGGTGGTGGGCAGGGTAAAGATATTGGTTAATGTTAGTCCCCTCTGTCCTCTTGACTGGCACACACTCATGCATGTGGGCCGGGTTCCACTGATTGCTGATCAGTATCTCCGGCTAAGCTCATTAGCTTTCTAAAAAGGGCTTAACTAAACCTCCGCAGATTCCCTACTTTTGTATTTGTGTCTGTTTGATGGGCAACATTACAAGCACATCCAAGAAAAATGTAACCAGCTCCAAATAGCGTGGGTGTTTGACACAGGAGACCTATGGCTTCCACATAAGCAGCTTCCCCAGCAACATGTGGCCCATGGTTCAGAAGGCAGAATGTGTTTTTCAGCCACTTCCTGCCAACAGTTTGTCCGGTGTTGATTGGGCTAGAATGCATTGCTATGAGAGAGACAGAGCTTTCTTTTAATGCTTCTGCCAAATGTAAAGGAAGAGACCTATGGAAAGCGGAAAGCATTAAGGGAGTTTCCAGCTTAGGGAGGTACTGCGGGGGTAGCAGTAACAAGGTTTGTGTGATGTGCAAGTGTGTGGAAACAAAGAATGTGTTGAGTGGGCTCATATGATAATTATTTAATAGGCAGCCAACCTCTAGACCAAAAAGATGAGAAAAAAAGGCAGCTTAATATCTCATCACATGTCCTTATAGCTTCTCACCCGACTCGAGCCCATCACATTCATCGTCCTGCGTTCCACATACATAAAGTATCCCTTTGTATGCTTCCAAGAAAGGGCCAAAGAGATGGGTGATAAACTGCTTTGACATTAGCTCAGTTACCAAGAAAGCACGCAGTGGCGAATGTCTCATGCCAGTAAATCACTTCAAAGAGGAGTCATTTTGCTTTTCTCCATTAAGCATCAGATCCACTCTGGACCAATGCAACTTGATGGTGCCCCAGATAGTCGTGCGTGGATGAGAAGGAGAGTGAGAACTCCGATGTAAAGCAGGTTTGTCAGATGAGCTCCTGCTACTTTAGTGAGGAGACAAAGGGCACAAAGAGCTCATCTCTAAACACCCTTTGTCACTCTCTGTCTTCCCTATAATCTATAATGGATGCAGGGTTGTTGCGTGACAAAGAGAATAAAGCAGTTGCATTGTGCAAGCTATGAATGTAACTGCTCAAACTTCAGTGTAATGCGTAAATTTATTTTGGTTTTCTTTCCACGTGCTTATTGCATGACGAAGGAGCCACTTGCACGCCTTAAGGCTGAACTGGTGTATGTGACGTTCCACCTGTCCAAGTGCATATTTGACAGAGAGCCAGGGAAATTTAGAAAGGAGAGGGAGCAGCTTCTCCATTAGACTCCTATTATAAAAGATGGAGTGGATCTCAAGACAGCCCCATCACTAGCTAATCACCCACTGCCGGCATCAGAGAGATGAGCAACAGACAGAATGTTAATGTACCTTTCACTCCCCCCCCCTTTTTTTTTTCCACCATACCTATATTTTTTGGTCTTTCCACTCATCTCCTCCCTTGTTCCCTTCTTTCACATATCCTCTCATTTTTCTGCAAACATTGCTCATCACTGCAGGTTTTTTTTCCTTCCTCCTCTCCTCCTCACTTTGGCTGCTTGTGCTTAGCATTTACTTCTTTTTTTTTTTTTTTAATTACACCCCAACATGAATATGTGTTGGCTCTTTAAGATGATCTTCTACCAGATCTATACTGTATTAAATTAAAAAATAATCCCAGTAATGAATGCTTAGAGTTTCCTAATATGTATTTAATAATATGTTTGGAATTTGTTGCCAGCAGCACATGGCAGAAGGCAGATTTATACACATTTATGTTTTGTATGTGTCAACAATATCCTCTTACCTCTTATCATAATTATCTCTGCGTAACTAGCTCCATACTAGGGGCAGGCTTTGACCTTTTCCACACAAGTGCATTTCTCAGAAAGTCTTGTAATTACTGCTTGGGGCTACCAAGTCACTGAGATGTTTTGCAGCTGTCTCCGATACGTACAGAACTCAGGATCTGAACATTAATATAACAAACAGACACAAATGCAATTGCACATGCAGAGACAATAAGCATGATTTGGCCAGGTAGGGGGCCCTACCAGTGTTTATTCTGCTCTGTGGTTTTAGATCATGCAGGAAAGAAAAAGCGTGCCTGACTGTTTCAGACAGCTAACGAGAATTTTAATTAGAAGTGGGGTTTTTTTTCCTAATTGCAGAGGTGAAAACTAGAGAAGAGAGAGCAGACCTGTCTGTTATGCCACTATCCCACCGAGTGACCTCAACCATCTCTAATTTATATTTTTTTTCTCTGCACGAGCTGATGCCATGTTATTGCCCCATGGCTTTCCTGAATACATCAAACCCCACCTCTACCACCCACTTCTCAGTCTTCTTAACCTCTTTCTCTTGGGTAATGCATGTTCAGCTTACCAAGAAAATTAAGCAGCACTGTGCACTTCGGTTTTGAGCAGCTTTAATTGAAATCTCCGTGCATTTATTAGCCTTTAACCTTGTTGTTTTCATTTGTTTTCCTTTCTTTCAGACCGGGATTTCAGCATCCAGGTGAGCACGGAGCGACGGTCCTTCACGGCCGGTGAGCCGCTGGAGCTTCGCTGCACCATTGAGGCGCAGAATGTCCCCGAGCGTTTCTTCTCGGTGTCGTGGGTCTTCAGCAGCTCACCGGTGGCCGTGGTGGGCCCCAGTGCCGTGCCTAATCTGGGCCCCGATTATGTCGCCCGGGAGGCCGCCGGTCAAATGACTGTGCGCAAAGAGAGCGTCAACGTGCACCTGCTCAAGCTGCAGCACTTGCGCCCTGAAGATGCCGGGAAGTATATCTGCCGCGTAACAGAGCGGGAGAAGACGCCCACGGGTGACTTCATCGACCGCAGCAAGAGATCCCGCAATGTCCAGATCACAGTCCAGGCACTGAGTGAGTAATAATCTGTTCACTGACGCCAGTTGTGTGGCTGTCCTGTCCTTAGTTGTCAAGTTCACTAAGAATAATGACATTTTGATAATGGCTGTTTTATCTTCACTTAGTCCACATGTAATATCGTGCTGTGATCCTCTGCTGCGTTTCTCTGTCACCCCACCCCCGTGTCCTGTCCTTCTAAGGGTGGCTATAACGGATAGCTGCAGAGGTTCTATTGTTAGCTGTGAGTAAGAGGGAATGGGATAATGCTACTCTTATTCCTGATGTATTTTCTGTTTGAGTGGATTGCTAAGGATTGGTAATGCAGCATTATGGTCCTTCCCATTTCCTTGGCTTAGTGGGGGAGATGGGGAGGGTGGGTAACACTATAGTAGGATAATGGAGAGCAGAAGAGTCCTGAGTGAAGGAGGCTGAGCTAACAGCCATGAAATGAAAGTGTGGAGAAAGAAAAGAAGCAGAGAATGGCATCTAGCTCTCCAGGGCCCTCTAAGTGGCTCCCTAGGCTAAATTAATGTGTTCTGCTGGGGCAAACCTCCTCAGCTGGGTTAAGCAGGGCTAGCCAATGGGGTGATGTCAGCCTTGCAGCTGATTGATACAAATATACAGTTAAACCTTTAAAACCTTGTTCCCAAATCACTTCTGGTGTTTTTTCTTCTACACACTCATAGCATCTGTGTCTGATGCTGCCTTCCCTTGTCTCTCTGTGCTACCATGCCTCTGAGGACTAGAACAGTGCATGGAGCCAGCCAACTGATACCAGCATAGTAAAACATAATGGCCACAAAGTAGTATCTCTGCTCAAGCAGCCGATGCTACCTTATTCTGACCGCTCTGCAGCCCCTGTTAAATCACCCCAAAACAATGGCCCAGAGCCTGCAGCAGTCTCTTGGGAATATCTCTGTATGGAAGGTTTGTTTTTCCAACAAAAGGCCCTAATGCCATATAAAGGATGTTTATAGGGTTTACACAAGATAATGGGCATGGTTATTGGTGGAGAACTTTCATGACACACAGCAGTAGTGTTCGGGGAGCGTGTGTGTCGTATGCAGACTTGCCTTATGCCTCCTTTCACTTACATTCAGGCACAGACACAAAGCTCGAAGATGTGCTTCATCACTTTAATTTGTGGAATTGGGGGGAAAGCTGTTAATGGGTTGCGACAGGGGTTTATAGTTGATGATTTAGCGGCGGGCAGAGGTTACAGCGAAGGAAAACCATGGGTAAACACTCATGACAAATGAATGTTGATGGATGGAGTTTACCTTTGCAATGAGAGAGGGAGGGAGAGCTCACTTGCCAGACTGAATCTCTATCATAAAGATGGAAGGGACAGGTGGTAAGGTAGGGAAAGAGAGTTGGGGCTCTTTGGGATTGGAGAGAAAAATGCATTTTGTTCAGCACAAAGGAAAGGGAGCCGGTGGGTAAAAATTGAAAAAATAAAATAACAGGGAAAGGAACGTTGACTAGACTAAGAGATTTTTAAGGGTAGGCAGGCAAATATATCTACTTGTTACAGTCTATTCTTAGCTGTGTAAGAAAACTATGAGCTATTCGAATGAAAGACAAAAGTAAAGGATGAAGCATTTTCCCTTTTTTAATGTGAATCTGATAGAAATAAGAATTGAATTCATTTCATATTCACAGAGGACTCATGCTTATTAGGAGGGCCGGTGAGCTGAGAGGGAGGCAGCAGAGCTTGGCCTAAGGGAAGGGGAAAAAAATGTGAGAATTGTTAAGCCGCACCCCCCACGAGACAGCAGCACTAGCTCCGCAGAGGGGAGGAGAGCTTATGGGTCAACCAGAGCTCCGTGATGTTTGATGGATGCTGAAGTGATACGAGTCTAGATAAAGCAGAAAAACAGAGCAGAAGAGTCAGTAAAGACTTTTATCCTTCTCCTCTGAAGTGCCACTGAGCCCTGTGATCTGAACCTGCTTTCCTGTGCGTATTAAGGACTTGGTGAGCAAGCTTCACAAGGTTCAGGAAGAGAATCTCAACCCACGCACACACACACACAACTTATCAGTGTGTCTACTGTGGCTGTCACTCTGATGTGCCTGGGGCCAGTTACAAAACTGCACTATCTTACCCTGACACATGCTTCCATACACACTCATAAGCATGCAAACAGACACACACAGCACTTTTACAGTGTTGCACTCCAGGGAAAAGCTCAGCAATTTGATTTATTGCCCGTGGCCACCTCTGCTCTCTGAATTGTTTGACACAGACAGAGTTATTCTAGCTATCTCTTGGATTCAGTTTGAGAAGGAGTTACGCTTTTGGATAAGTTCCTGTGTCCTAAAATCCGTATCAAATATAGTATCTAGATCCGATCACTTTTCCTTTTTTTTCCTCTTGTTTTCTTTTTGGGGGGCTTTTTGTGTATTTCATCTTTAATTGATATCATGGACATTTTGCCCTAATCGACACTTACACGTCATTATTTTCCATCATCTAATTTTCTATGAGCACAGTGACTGTGCTGGTGCAGTCATAGCTCTGCCTTGATCTGTGTTTTATAAACAGCCAATATTTCATCAGGATTGGGAACTAAACATAAATTATACAGTAATTTTCATACAAGCAAAAACATAGCAGACAGAAACCACAGGCTCCTATGTTCCCATTAAAAACAATGACCAGCCCCAGTGTTGTTGTTTTTTTCAGTATGGAACTGGTTCCAGATTTGGACCCAGCGCTGCACTAGTGGAAAAAAGATAAAAAAAAAAATGTTTTGAAAAACCTCTACTTTACACAAGTTAGAGATTTGAAAGCTTTCAAAAAGCTTTCTGTGCATTTAAAAGTCTAAAACTGCAAGTAACATCCCTTTTCTAAAAATAAAAATAAATATATTGGGGAAATCCGTTTTTTAAATCTACAAATATAAGTCTTGGTTTTGGTATCAGTCTTAAAAAATTTATCAGTTGGTAAGTAAGTAAGTAAGTAAGGTTTATTTATATAGCACTTTTCAAGAACAAAATTCACAAAGTGCTTTACAAAGCAGAAGTATGTATACACCAAATTGGTTTGATTGCACTGGACTGGCTGGTGCATTAGCATGTCAATTGAAACTAGTACCAGCTACCCCTCACACCTCTTGATTTGATATACTCGTTAGCCTCATGATCAACCAGTCTTTTCCAGTCGAAATTAAAAACAAAACAAAACAAAAAAAAAAAGATCAAAAGGGCCCGGCGGCTTTCAAGAGAAGTGGGAGGCAGAGTAACTGATCACTAACATGAAAGGGTAAACCTCTTTGTGTGCGGAGCCGATGTGACCATAATTTTAAGAATATAGCATAAGATGACACTATGAAACAAAACACCAGGACAAACAGCTGAATCTTCAGAAGGCAGAAGAGATGAAAAGAAGTTTGGTGTCATGGCAGACTGTGTTCACAGAAGCAAAATTTCAAAGAGAGGCTGTTGTTAAAGCCAGTTTTATTGTGGCAGAAGCAATGGCCAAATCAGCCTGGTGACAAAGTGAGGAGGAATTTTTAAAGTGCTGCATATTTAAAGTGTGCAATCCCAGACAAAAAGTGAGCATTTTAAGTACTAGGAATACTGTTACCGGTTGTCTATTTGAGGTTGCCACCAATCTGCAAAAACGGCTGATGGAAAAAGGAGAAGGCTTCACTGCAAATTTCCTTCCTGTGACACGGCTGATTCTGCCCAGCTCTCGATCTTCACACGTCGAGCTGACTCCAGGGGAACTGTTGGGAATTAAATCAATGCTATGGCACAACTAAGGGAAAAGACATATTTAAAAAAGCAATCGAAGTGCGTAACTTAAATGAAGCTGCTTTGGGGGAGCGCCAAAGGAATGACAACAGATGGACCGCCTGCGATATGTGGTGAAAAGAGTGGCTTAGTGGACAGGGCGTGGGAGAAGACGCACTGGTGAAGTCACAGTTTATCACACCAGTAAGTGTTGTGTGGTAAAACCCTGAAAGTGGAACATGTAATTAGCGCGGTAACACCAACATTTATCATTACATGAACCAACAGTTTAAGAGATGATGTTTGGACATGAAGCCATGCCCTATCACACAGAAGCGTCATGGTTAAATGAAGGGAAAGTGCTGGAGAGATGTTTCAAGTTGAGTTTATGGAAAGCAAAGGGAAAGATGCCAAAGAGCTCCTGGATGAAAAATGGCTCTGTGAGTTTGAATTTTTGTGCGAAATACCAGTTCACTGTGGTAGGGGCAGCTTCGGGGGTAGGGCCATGTGATGATGAAACATGCAAGAGCTTTTAAAGCCAATCTGGCCCTGTGGGAAACACAGATGTTAGAAGGAAACCCGAGTCACTTGCTGTCAATCGATGATGGAGCAGATCTGTACCGCTGCATTGCCCGTTGCACTTTTTGTTGAAAAACTGAGCAAACAGAACTGCGCTCTTGGAGCGAGTTTTCTGACTTTGGAGCCCAGAAAATCAAGTTTGAACTTCTCAGCAATCCATTTGCAGTTGACTGTGAAAGAGCACCTATAAGCACACGCACACACACTCAAGTACACACAAGCTGCTCCAATGCTCTGCATGTTTGGCAACACTTAACTGCATTTGGCAACTTTCCTCTGTGATAAAGGCGAACACCAAACGGGAGTCTCCTTACTTGTGCACACGTTCAATCCATCCTGAAAATATTCACAGCACAGAACCTGAACCAAACACTGAACTTGCAGTTTGAAGAGAAAAACAACGACCAGGCATCTGGCTTAAGCTGTTTTGCATCACAGCAAAGTGTGGTTAAATATATATGCTTCTTTTTTTTTTAATCTTTCAACAGATTGATCATTAAAATGTTGTTTTGTTTGTTGGTGTTAATGAAATCAGAATAATTTTAGATTTCCATCATGGACAAAACTGTTTTAATAGTCTGCGAGAAAACATTTTTAATGGAAATGACTCAGAAAAAAAGTGCATATTGAGAAAAATACATCAAAAATAAATTCTACTGATACATTCTTTCATTTTTTTCTCCTTTTCTCGTTTGTTTGTTAGACATAAGTGTTCTTAATTCTTAGATATTGTAGGAGAGTTAGAGTTTGTATTTCTGTATGAATAATTCATAATACAAATAATTATAAAAAAAAAAATCATAAATAAAATAAAATATTTACCATGATTTGGACGTAGCCCTTCTATGACTGACCTTGACAGTCCTTGTTGTTTAAAGGCCACTCATGAGTTAAAGGATGCTGATCAGCCACAACATCAGTACCACTGATCAGTGAAGTGACATTCTGCTTTGTAATAAGATGAACAAACTTTGAGCCTTAACATTAATGGCCTCAATATGAAGCACCTTTAGCAACACAGTGGGGGAGCTACACAACATTAAGTAGGCAGATAAACTGTTGTGACTCGATGTTTTAGAGCCCACTTGGAATTTGACCTGACAAACAGACTCTGATGAAAAGGCTGAAGAAAACTGTTCTCTGGTCTGATGTGACAGAAGTACAGCCTTTTCGTCAGACAGCCCACAGTTTAAAAAACCACAGTTTAAAAAACCACAGTTTTTTAAACTGGAGAGACCTGAAGATGTCACATTTTAAGTCTGTTAAGACATGAACTTATTGAAAAACACTGCGAGCCATGCTGAATAGACTTTTGCAGAGTTCTGAATTTAGTAATCCATCCATCGCATCCATTTTATTTTGCTTATAGGGGGCAGGTTACAGGGGCAGCAGCCCAAGCAGAGAAGCGCAGACCTTCTTCTCCCCAGCCTCCCCCTCCAGCTTATTAGTATTATTATTTATGTAAATGGGCGTGTGGATATTTTCTCAGTCAGCTTTCTCTCTGCATCACAACCAACTCACTGTCTATCTCTGTATTTTCTCTTCCCACTCAGAGAGCAACATCACAGTGTTCTTGTCCAGTAATTCCTCAGTGGTCCTAGAGGGTGACGTGATCCAGCTGATCTGCACAGTCCACGCTACCACGGGGCCCGTGTCTGTTGTCTGGCAGTGGACAGACAGCAAAACAGCTTCACTGACCAAGGAAGTGGCTTCCATTGATCGGGATGGCACAATATGGCATAGCCCCAGCTACAGAGAGCGCGCCAGTTATGGGGAGATACGCGTGGAGAAGGTGCGAGCTGACACATTCTCTCTTTCCATCCACAACGCCTTACCTGGGGACAGGGGCCTGTACCGCTGCTCAGCCACTGAGTGGCTTCACACCGGCTCTGAATCTGAGCTAAACTGGGAGAAGAGTGAGGAAAGATCTGACACCAAGATGGTCAATGTCACAACTGTTGGTGAGCAATGTCATCCTAATCTGATCTGTATTCTAATATCTTCAAGTCAGTGAGGCATGTAAATGCCCTGACAATTCCAGCATGTCTGTACACAGAATCAAAGGGACACACATGGTTTGTGATTTGTTAAAGACTGACAAATGGCTCAGGAAAAACATGGAGTCCACATGGTAGAATAAAGCATGTTTTATTCATGCACTGCTTAGGGGCTAGAGCTATTATGACACACACTCTCACACCACCTGCCTCATGTCAAGAGCAGTGCTTCCATGACACCCATGATAGACCCACACGTGTGCACACACACACTTGGATTAGCCAGAATTATTAGAATGGAAATGCAGTGGAAATGTGTTTCACAGTCTGTGGGTCTCCTCTGTCATTGCTGACTTAAGCTGAACATCCTCAGTACAGGCAGAGGAAGCCACTGGAGCAGAGCAGTGAGGCGCTGGCAGGGCAGGAGCACCGGGTGCAGCATTCGCACACACACACACATAGACGCACAACTAACGGATTAGCTCCCTACAGCAGCAGACAGTGGTGCTGCAGAGAGGAGATGTCAGTTTTTAAGTGGCCATTTCTTAAGTTTGGGCAACAACAGAAACATTTGTTTGAGGAACAAGGGACATATTATGCAAATCCGAAAAAAGGAAGTCCAATGATGCTCATCTTTCTTCAGTTGCACTTCTCGACAACCCTCTTCTCCTCCATGCTTGGCTTTCTAAATAGGCATGATAGCATGACGGTCAATACGTGTGTTATGTCTGATTTGTTCTGGCCTGTGTTTTTCCTCACTTTAGCTTCCAAAAGCATGTTTATTGGACCTAAACCTACTATGTGAATGGAACATTTGATTTAATTAAGCATTATTCTTTTTTTTAATGTATTATAAAAAGAAAAAGAAGATCTTACACTTCCGTTCCTGAGCTTAAATTAGGCCAATAGTAGCATTTTCCGATTGAGACAAGGGATATACCATTGGACATATACTGGACATTCAAAACTTGCATCAAAAGCAGGGTTTGTCCCACCCAGCCACCAACAACAACAAACACAGGATTGATTACTGCTTGTAAAAACAGTGACTGACAGTGTGGTGGGTGAAATTTCATGCGGTCACTGTGCCCATACCGTATTCTATATCATCCTTATTCACAATTCCCTTTGCTTCCTGACAAGACCTACTGAGAATAGCAAGTGGATGTCCTCTGGGACTTATTTCCAGTTGACTGGCATTAGGGGCCCTTTTGGTGTTTCAGGTGGCACACATAAGCAGACACAAACAACAGTGGAGGGTAGATATTCACACACACGGTGTTCCAAACAATCAAACACACTTTGTACGGTAATGGAAAGAAACACAATGTTTATTCACACAAAAAGAGAGAGTTGTATGGGGAAAAAAATGGATCAGCGTGAAATCCTCTTTTCTGTCACTGAGGCAGACAGACTGTGAGGGGAAAATGGAAGAGGGTTGCCAGGCGATGAGAGATGGAGTGAGAGGGGAGAGTTATTGTCTGTTAGAGAATTATGGCCCCAGGCGGCTGTCCCAGCTGTAGCCAAGTCTGGACAGAAAGCCATTGATTACATCCTGAAGGACGCTGAGGATGATGACTGTCAGAGGACAAGAGAGGGTGAGGGACAGAGAGAAAGCAACGATGCTGTTGACAAGAACATAATGGAGAATGCGCAAAGTCTCAAGGAAACGAATTATCCGATCTGACAAAAGTCAGACTTCATCAACATGTTTTCATTCCACCTCACGCTTTCATTCTTTTTTGTTGTTGTTGTTGGTGTTGTATCTGTGTATGGCCATCTTTCTCATTTTCAAGTGCAATCAGTCACATTCAATGAGTGCCCTGAAATAGGTGCAGCAGGGCCAGAGAGAAAAGGGAATGTTTTTTTTTTTATTATTATTAATATTTATTTGTTTCACCCAGTCTATCTCTTTTCTCTCTCCCTCTCTGATCACTCTTGTTTTCCAGTGTAGGTGTCTGTTGGCAGTAATATAAGGAGTTGGGAGATTGTTTTTAGCTTAATGAGGATAGTTTAGACTTGGCAAGCAGTTGAGCGTAGATCGAACATCGGCGCTTAGAGGAAATCTCCCCCCTGGGTTTTCTTTGTTGCATCACTGTTAATTTTGAGGCGCTCTCTCACAGTCAAGCTTACAAATTCAAACTCACGCACACACACAGCTGTCTTTTGACACCTTCCCCGTAATGATGCTGGAGGATACTTGGAGACTGAGAAATGCTTTACCTGTGAACTCTTAGATAAGTATGGTCTTTTTCAGCAGTGGACTTTCTTCCTCCTGGTACCTATGCTGAAACAAACACTCTTTCCCGAATGTGATTACTTTTTAAACTTTATTATGTAAAGATTTATCATTAGTCCAATAAAAAGCCCATTTGACTGTGTGCCAGCCTAACCTTCTTTCCCCTCTCCTTCCATCATCTAGAGTCCTCCTTCTCGGTGTCAGCCTCATCGCGCACACCATCCATAACCTTCGGAGACTCCTTTGATCTCCTGTGCCTGGTTAAGCCCCGCCATAACCCACGCGTCCCCACTTCCGTCACCTGGCACTTTAAGCCAGCTGGAACAGAAATTGATGGCGAGGCTGAGGGAGAGTTCAAAGAACTGGTGACTTTCACGCGCGAAGGCACGCTGCAGTGGGGGGAGCAACTGCTGGGATTGGGCACCCGCACCACAGTGGACCGCTCCCACTCCCACACCAATTTCTGGCTGTCTGTGACCCGGGCCGGGCGCCGTGAGGCGGGCAAATATCGTTGCACTGCAGTCCTGTGGAGGAGGAACTACGACAACAGCTGGAGCAGAGTGGCCAATCGCACTTCCAACCCACTTGGCATCAGTGTCCTACAGCCAGGTAAAGCTGCAAGGCTGTGTTGCCAGGTTGACACACACCTAATTGGAGTGGACACAGACCAGCACACAAACGGGGATAAACACAGATTCAAACATACAGTCACACACATACAGACACACACACACAGACTTATACACTTTCAAATAGGGTGAAGGCACCAGAGCTTAGAGGATTTCTACCTGCTCTAATTGCTCTTAGTCTGTGGTTTAGCCACTAATTGGAGTTTCTGTGGATGTCCTTATGTGTGTGTGTGTATGACTGAGTATGCAGGGCAGGGTGGAGCCTCCTAATGGAGCGCAGTGAATGGATTGCTAAATATCCCACAGGAAGAGAAAACTGAGTGAAGGAGGGAGGAGAGAAAGTAGCAAAGGACAGAGACGGAGCGAGAGAGAAAGTGGGATAAAGGGAGTGAGCGATCTGTCCTTGAACCCTTTTCCTCAGCGGAGGCATTAAACTGTCTACTCCGCCCTCATTGGCCTTCTGTGCTTCACAGGCACACTCACATGCACGCACAGAACCCATTCAGACACAGCCCAATTAGTGGGCGAATGCAAACAAACCCCCCCCCCCCCACAAAGAAGCACAAACCTGCTTTCGCCCAATTTAGCCCAGTCTGGTGTACCTTAACAGTATGATACTTCATTTGTTCAGGTGAATTTACCTCTGGAAAAAAGCTCATCCTGCTGATAAAATAACCCACTATTTTCGTAGGATTTAAAGCAGTCCAACTAAGCGTTGTTGTACCTGCTGTACAACAGGGGATCAGATTTGTTGGATTTAGCAGGAAGAATGTCAGCGAGATGTGTGGGTGGGATGACAAGTAGGCTTTCAACGTGTTGAAATAATATCAGCAATCATTGAAGTGAAATAGAAAGATTTGGTCTGCAGTGTTCTATGTGTGACCGTGACCAATGCGTGCCTGCAGGCACCTGTTCAGGTGGGGATAAGTGAGATGCTGTATTGAGTTCAGAGGCACTTTGTGATGATCAACAGCACTTTTCAAGTCAGCCAGATGAATGTCGTCGCATGTATAGTATGAATAGTCTTTCATTCTGTGGTGCTGTTAATTCAGATGCTGTTGCAGAAAGTCATACTGCAACAGATGAAACTTTCTTTAGCAAAGCATCTTATGGTGAAAGTCAGTTTGGTTGTTTTGACCAAGTGTCCCACGTCCAGTAGAATTTCAGCAAAATCATATTTTCATCAGAACATGTTCTTGTCAGTCAGTACAATACACTGACTCAGCTTTCGTACTTGATCCAAGGTCAAGATGACCCAGCTGAACATCACCTCTCTTCCTGTTCTCAAACTCAACTCAGACTTACTGTCTCTCTCGCTGTGGTCCTCAGTGTAACCCACGTATGCACGTCCAGATGAGTGCAGATGGGACTAAAACATGTAAGAAAGAAATATGAGCAATAAGAGTTCTGTTTCATTATCCAGAATGCAGCAATACATAATGCAAACATGTATTAAACAGACCTACAGAAGCACCACAGTGCAGAGACGGCGCTTTACTTGCGTGACTGATTCTGCTCTGACCTTAACCGCTCATGCAGACCGCGCTGCATCTCTGGCCCCTTCAAAAAGTATTTGGAAATCGACTTATCATCCTGAATGCTCATTTACCTCCTGCCCGTGTGCAGTTTACTTTGTTTATCCATAACCAGAAAAATGTAAAAGGACACAAACACACAGAGACAAACATTTCATAGCAATCAGGGGTCTCCTCCTTCCGCTCTCTTTTCCAGCGGTATCTGTCTCTAAGACAAAGTGATCGGTTAGCTTGGTAATGCCATTAGTTACCATGACGATGTGATCAGTTATCGACTTCAACCCAATCAGTAACCGTAACGATGCAGTCATTCTGTGCATGAGGGCACTGTCACACAGGGGAGGGCGAGCGACTGATTTCCTTTATCTCATTGGTTGCCAAAGCTTATTTCAGTCATGGTCACGCCGTGTTCATGTCCACTGCCTCTTACGGGGTTTTCTATCTTCTTCTTCTTCTACATTTCTTTTTTTGGTTGTGTTGTCAGACCTGCATTTAGGCCGATGATTCATTTGTCAAAATGTAGGACGTCTCTTTCTGCCTCACGCCTCTCCTCACCATCTGTTTTTCCTCACTGTTTTCCTAAATGTTAACCACTCCTGGCTAAATGAGCGGCTGGCATTTACTGTTCCTCTCCCACAGAAGTGGGATAAAGGAGAGTGTGTGTAATGAGGTGTGAGCAAACACAGCATCTGACCAGATACATAATTGAGAGACTTTAAACCATGCTTCCAGAGGTACTTTTTCAATATGTATGAGCTGCTTTGGCAGCGTACATACATACTGCATATGGGCATGCCGCACACCTTATGGTCAGCTTCTGAAAGCTTTCATGTTAATACCTGACAG